ATGCTGCTACCTGGGGTGCATCCACCCCCTCGTTACGCCAACAAAACCTGACACCGTCCGCCTGCAGACAGACGAGGGCGCGCCCTTCAAAGTACCTCTCACGTCGACGACGACAATAACCATTTGCTGCTGCCGTTGGAAAAGATAAGCGATCTTCATAGTCACGGGTCGGCCACATGTCAGTTATAGGTTCGGTTTCTATCCAACTGTGGAGGTCTGGGTCCTGGGTCAACAAAAAGATACTACCCATAACGATAAATCGAAATATATTCGATTCGAAAGAAAAGAGAAAGGGCTTGTTCACAACAATAACATTTGATATCATTGAATGCTTGCTCCTATTGATATTAATTTATCATTGATATTAATTTAGTGCATTAATTATTATTGATATTAATTTAGTGTATTATTAAATGTAAAAAGTTAGAACTTCCACTCTAAAATGGTGTTATCAGATTTGATATCTATGGAAAAATTCAACTATTGAATTAGTTAAAACAGGTAATGCATAAAAATGAAAAAATGAATAGCAAAAATTATAAATGTGAAATAAAAGTGCATTTTAATTTATTCTTTTAGTAATTCGAAGGGAATTTCATTCCCTTTTTCAAGTTTTCCATATTCTTCAATAGATTTCGAATCTGTTTACATCATTTTAGATGGTGAAAGCTTGAACTTGGTTGACAATGTTTCTTCATCAAGAAACATTGTCAACCATTGAATAAAAATCATTCTTCGTGGAGAAGATCAAAAGTTTTTTATCCATCTTCCACAATCTGAAAAAAATGAAAATTGTGATGGAGAAACATTACATATAGGAGCAGAAAATGCAAACCTTTTAGTTCAATCCGATAAACTGCTGCGTTAATTCAAGGTATTTTTCGCAAAAAAAATCTATTCATTAGTAAATGTAACTTGCAATTTTCTCCTTTGATTCGTTTTATTTTCAAACTACTTCAACAGATGCCAAAGGAGTTTTGAAATGTCAGACCAAAAGGAGAAAATCACTCGAAAAATCGATGAAAATTGTAAACCACTTTTGAAATTGATATTATTAGTAAAACTCCCAGGCTAACCAAAGGAACTGGAGAAAATGAAGGAACAAAATTTATCAATTAATGCTATATTTTGATATCGAATCGACATAAAGAAGCAATGTAATAAAATCTGCGTTGAGAAAAAATTAGCAAATTGGCGGATACGGCACGAATTCTCGATAAAGAAAAACAGTGAGATCATTACAGTGTGTTCTAGATTTCAAATTTCTCATTTTTATTTTTTATAAATTGAAATTCTAAAACGTAAACTGGTAATATAAAAATTTAATATTGTAAAGTATGCTTTTACTTCCTCTAAAATAGAAAAAAATAATTTGATTTCAAAAAACATCGATTCAAAGAAATCAATTTATTTTTCAAAAAATCCTATGTATAGTTTTTATTAGATTTCCAAATCGTTACTTATTTCCACCTTTTCGAATTATCGAATTCATTCTCCTACAACAAACCATACTCCTATTAAACTAACATCAGAACCACTCTAGAACTAAATTCTTATTTTTAGGCCATATAATAAATACATTTAAGCCAACCTTCAGTTATTCAGGCAAACTTTTTGCCTGAAGTATTGAATAAATCTCTATCTTAATTTTATTCAAACGCAGTAATATTTCACAATTTATTTGCTTCAAAAAGTTTGTGATTTTCGATAATAACGTTCAGATAAATTTTGCCCCCCATTCTCGAATGTTTTACTATTCATTAAAGGGCAATATCATCTGTCGAATCCGACTACTTTTTGTAGACCGCAAGCCAGGTCCATTGATACCACTTAAAATGAATGATTTTCATAGTCCTAAAGTAGAAAATGGCTTTCAAGCCTTATGACATCGGTTAAAAGTATTGTATTTGAATTGAATGAAATATTGAAAGTAAAAAGCAAAAAAAAGTTTTCCCAAAAATTAATTTCTACAAAAAAAACTTTCCTTTTATATTTGATACACAGTGAAAATTCTGGCGAGTGAAAATATTTGCCGGTTTCTGGCTTTTTCCAAAAAGGGTGTTTTTATATCTGTCTCCCGGAGAATTGTTGAGTGTTGTTTTTAACATGCATATCTATTAATAAACTGTTGACGAAGTCGATAAGTCTTCGGGTCTATCTAATCTCTTCGTTTCGCCGAAAAACAACTTATGACTGGATTATATTGTTTGTGTCGTTTCCAAGAGCTGATTATATATCGACCGTTTCAAGGTCGATACATGATCTGTACCAGTATCATATAGACCTCAGAAAAACAATAAATAAAAAATCATGAAGAGTAATTAACGTTTAGTACTTCGATTCGTATTTTGCAATTCAATATACACGTTAAATAAATGAACAATATTGAAATTTTAGAAATACGTCTATTTTTAATCTTAAGCTGACATTTTTTTAAGCATAATCTCATACATACCTCCCTATCTAGAGTGACAACACGCGCTTTTTAAATTTTTCTGAATTTTATCGAAAAATATTATAATTCTGGACAATAGTGGTTGTGATAAAATTATTTCAACACATTTTTTGTCGTGTTTGCGGTGATTTGAATAATGTCTTAAATGAATTCTCTTTTAAACCATGAAAGTCATTTAATGTATTAGAGTAGACTTTAGATTTCAAATAATCTCAAAAATTGTCAAGTGGAGTGAAATCTGGAGAATGGGCAGACCACTTAATTTCCATGCGTCTATCAATCCATATTTTAAGAAAAACTTGATCGAGATAGGTTCTTACTACCAATGCAAAACGTAGTGTCATTCAGTACTGCTGATTCCAAATTTAAATTGTATTGTCATCATCATCTTTTAAAAGTATTGTAAACTCTGGAAGTAAGAAATATTACAAAAAAAAAACAAGTTAATGTGGTATCAAAAAAATATGTCCCCATTTTTTTAGTTCATAATTCCATCTCAGAATTTGTTCTGTGGGAGAAAAATTGCTCGGACTGCTTACCATTGCTTAAAATCGAATATTAAGAGCACACGCCCAACATTTTCAAATTATATGAATTATTCACAAAAATCCGTTTTTCTCTTCATGACATTTGCTTAAGGAGTTATTCAATATTTTCCAAATTTGTTTACATCAGGAATCGATTGTTCGAAGTTGTTTCAAGGCAGAATGTTCTACAGGGGTGTAAAATGAAAATATTTTTCGTATTTTTCTTTGTTGAAGTTATCTATTATTCCCTGCACTTAAGCGGACTATATTTAATTTATTAATTGGTTTTTTTGGAATCCCACTGACTTTTTGCCCAAAATATTCACATCACCTTTTAAACATCATTCTTTTTTTTAAATATACGGTAGTCTTTAGAGGATTTCACATGAAAGATTGAACCCTATATTTTGAAAATGTGCCTACTCGTTAAACTCATTCAAAGTTAGCGAACCAGAGCAAAATCAGTGAATATTTTGTAATTGTCAGTGCATGAAAATAAAGTGATTATGAAAGCAATCTGCGGAAAAGTGAAAAAAGAAAGTATTTTGTTTTACTTGAAATTGTTCTTATTTAGTAAAATAGTTTTAGATTCTCAAGATAATGAAAGAATATGATTGATTATATTGTAATTACATTCTTGATGCTAAAGCATTTAGTGTACCATCCGAGGTACCTACTATCCACACCCTGTAACCGTCAACCGGTTATGAATTTTAAGTTTACACGGCAGGCAGTAACAGGAAATAAATTTGATATTGTCGAAGAAAAAGATAAAACAAAACATTATTGTCTGAAAAGATAAATACAAAAATATCGATTGATAAGCAAAGGTTAAGGCTACTCAGACAGCTCATTGACCATACCAAATGGATCAATAACAAAATGTTCCTACTCACTCATTGTCCTGCACTTGCAGCCAGACCCTCGTGAAGTGCCGAGTGGAGATCCTTTGTCATCGAATAGGGTGAATTTTCAACCCACATACCTACCTGAATGATTTGCTACAGAGGGATGGTAAATACATCAAAATCGAACTATTTTTCATGTGAGGTCAGTTTAGGCCCGGTACGTGCAGCCTAAATTAACATTACCATCAGTATTAAATTTAGGAAAAAAACTGGCAATTGAAGTTTTTTCCACCCATCATGTTAGTAGTAATCTTCTTCAATTTGAACTAAATAATTACAATTTAGTTTGCATATAGCCACCCTTAGTTTAATGGTATCTGTTACCACCTACTTGATGAAAATATCAAGACACACTCTAGAAGAGAGTATACCTATGTAGACGAATTTGGTCAAGACGACTTTGAATCCAGTATATCGACATCTGCAGGAATTTAGCGAGCTTCAAAAGTTCAAAACTGGTTCTAGTATTCCGTTACTTAACCAACCTACATACTTGTACATATCTCTTTTAAAAATATCCACGAATGCACGACTGAGGCGAATTCTTGCTGAAAACCAATCAGTCTAGGTCTAGGTTCATTAGTCACATTTTTCCTTGCACCTCAGAAACCTAAACTGATATGAACAGATACTGTAGATAAAAATAACAATAGAATTGTTTTATGGAGATACAATATTTGCACATGATCTGCTGACTAGGTATATGAATTGCTTTCTAGTGCATGGCTTTGATATATCAGCTGAATATAAGGCCGATAGCGACAAATTTTGTCGCGACCGCAACTTGTACTCTACACGTCGCATTCGCAGGCAGCCATCTTGGATTTTTAACCGGCTATATTTGTCAAAGTACTGTGAAAAAACAAAGAAATTCGTCATGAATCAAGTTACTGCTCCATTAACAATCTTCAAAGTGCAACTCGCACCTTAGAACAGTTGATTTCAGTTAATTGTACTCATTCAGAAGTATCAAAAAATTAAAATGTGGCCAAGCCCTAAAGTTCTTTTGTTTGCCAAAAATTGATCGGACTCTGATTTTCGTGACAGAAACGAAAAATTCCCTTTATTTCCCTACGAACTCACTGAAGAATCCTTCCAATAGGTACTTACCTCAAAATTTTCTGATTTGGCCCACACATTTCCATCGTGCCCCGCAATTGCGGCTTTAGTAACGCATCTTGAAGCCAAGAGTTGTTTGTCTACATAATCCTGCCAGCTCATGTTGATTAAAATTTAGTTAAAATCACTGCACACACGGGGAGCTACCCACTAAAAATTGGACAACTGAAGCACTTGCCGCACGACCAACTGAAGCCGAATACTTTTGTCTGGCAGGGTAGGTAGGACAGTAGTGGCAGCGGAAACTCAGCTTGACAGCTGCGACTGCGCTTTGGAATGAGCTGAAACACGGCCAACTTTTGAAAGAATTTTTCGTGGCGGGATCTTTGAAATCATTGCAATTCTTCAAATTAAACTTTTGAAACAAAAATTTCTCTTCAAGTGGTTTATATTTCTAATGATTTTTCGAAAGTTGCCATTATACATAACCTTCAACTCGATTGATTACAATTTTACATTAGTACCTAACTATCTTTGTATAAATCTTGTTCAAAATTCATCTAAGTAACCAAATGTCAAAGGGTTCAAGTGGTGAAGAGCAGTCAATATCACTCTATGTTTAGGTAATGTATATTAGAGTGTGTCCGTTTCTTCTGCAGTTTTTAATTGAAAGCATGTTAGAACAAAAAGTAAATACTGGTGAAAGTTACATGTACAGGGCAAATTTCATATCAATGATTGGACTGAAATTTCAGCAGTATAATACTTTTCTATGGTCAATACTTGATTTGACGTTAATCTGCATTTATATTTGTAATTTTTTTTCTTCAATATAAAATTCAAAATTTTGAATACTTCGGGGCATCTACTGGTTATAAATTGAACGTAAAATATAAACACAGTGGATATCTACATTTCCCTGTAGCATAGTTAAACTATCAGCAAATAGATGGCGCCAAGAAAGTGAATTCAACTCTTACTCAGTAGAAATCTGATAGACTGCCTATTAAATTTGAAATTTACTTCAACAAAATATCGATATACAGTTATATCAAATTGTGATAAAGTACAAATTTTAGTATGAAAAACTTTCAACTTACTCTTCCCCAGTACCTATAATCAGTTAACCTAAAACAAAAAGTACTCCTCAAAGCAGTATCTACATTATTCGTTCTTTGTGACCGAATACATACACTTCTGTTAGCCAGCTGACGCCTCTTTATGAATGACAACCTTCATAAGTCGAAACACCGACATAACCCTATATCGATAAGTCGAAAGTCGTACGAGCTAAGGTCTCACTTTTTAACGTGCGATTCCTAGCAGGGTTAGTGGTCAAAGTAATCATAGAGAAATTAAGTGGTCATCTGACAATTTATTTGAAAAATGTTGAAAGTAAACAAACGCTTCTTACCATTACATTATCAAAAAAACAAAAACTGATCGTTGTGTTCAGAGGATAAAAAAAATTATGAAGAATTCCTAAATTAATTGAAAGTGAATTTATAAGCTCGTAGTTGTTACACGAATATTGACAGAGTTTCAAGCACAATAACAAATTCTAACTACACTTCATCAAAAATTGTACTGAATTCAGTTAAAGGGACATTCCTCGAAAATAATTTTTTTCAAGCCAATAAAAACAAGACGATATGGTGAATGATAAGGAATGTCCAACACATTTCATCATAGCAGAAAATTATTTATCTGGAAATGATATGACATTCATTTTTTGTCCCCAAAATCATTTTGACAAGTGTTAAATGAATCAAGATTCAACTTGGGTACGAGAAGTACTTATACTTGCTCCAGACTCACCATATTTTCTCATCTTTTCTCATCACTCCCAATTTCATTTAATCAGTATTTTATTATTAAATTCTGTATGGGTCATGATCAAGGAATATCCATGAAAAGGAATATGAAAACAATCTCTCTCGATTTAACGATAAACAACTAAAGTAGCTTGGCAGTTTCACAATAAATACTTTCTTTTCGAGTTTGTTGTACAGGAGCTACCGAATCTAGCTCCACTTTTGGTACATTTTGACGTAATATTTCAACCAATGCTCAAGCTCAAATCACACTTCTCTGAATCTTTTGGAGTTTCTAATTTGCCCATCATGTTATGAGAATGATGGAAAAATATATCGGAAAGGTTTGAAAATATAATCTGAAGAAGATTTTCACACAGAGAAAATTTGAAAATACTTTTTTTTAGATTTTTAAGGATTATTTTTTTATAAATTAATGTTACACCAGTTTCAATTTCATCTGAATCATGTGTAAGCACACTGATGACTTCCATACTTTTGCAGATATTTTATTATACTGATAATTTACTATGAAAATACTGAAAGGTTTTAATGAATTAAATCTTGTCTGCCAGAATCAAAAACATATTAGAGGAAACATTTCAGTATAGAAGAATCCATGGAATAAGAAAAAATTTGTGAGCCGTCATGGGACGTCTGGCAGATATGAAACATCGAAATTAATTTGTAAAAGTAATATGCATGAAAGAACAGATTATGACAGGAACTAATATGATATAATGTAAAAATAAAATACTATGTTTTTTTCTCAGAAAATGATGATTATCGTTCATTTAATAAACATTTATTTTCATTAACTAAAAAAATTTGAAATTTGTTTCAAATGGTGATAACTCAATTCTTTCAATTAGTGACTTCGATAATAGTTACATTCGATGTCTCTGACGGTATTTCTGTGATAATTGTTCGATGATAACTGAAGTATGTTACAAATGTACTCCTATTTGACAGAGAATTATCAAGGTATCTAATAAATACAGCATCTATTGTTTCATATCTGTTAGTAGGATATCTTGGATTGTTGTTAATTTGCAATTGAAATTATTCTTCAATTAATGGCAAAATTTACATTGAAATCTCCAGCTGAAAATCAATGATAGTTTTTCTTTATTGGTTTTAAAAATTCAATAATTATTGAGCCTTTGTGACTAATCTCTCTTATAAGAATCTTAGCTAGTTATTGCAATAATTACTGGAGTATGAATTGAAAGGGTATATTTTTAGATTAATTTTTGTGAAAGAAAAATTTTGGCTTCCTACTCCTCCATTTTAATCAATTTCAAAAATCAAGATGCAGAAGTAGTTCTTTCACAAAAATTACTAGAACTTTAATTATAAATATCAATAATAAATGTTTCAATATAAATCCCATCATTATTATAAAATTATAGAATTAATGAATTTTTTTATGTTCTTGTTAACAAATAAGAGAGACATTCGTGCGCTACTCGCTATCAGCTGATTTTGATATACTGTTCTGTCAGTCTTTATGAAATTAATTTTTCGAGTGTTTTAGTACATTTTTTCATAAGAATGAAATTATAAATAATTGTCAATTTAAAAATAATAACGTTATGAAAATAGTGTAAATTTTTATCTATCAAGAGAGTAGATTTAACATTTACTGACCCTCTAAATACCAAATATATGCGGGCTTAATACACAGATAAATGTACACTTTAGTAATAAAATATAAAAATATTATCAACTTACTGATCACTATAGTGTGATTTTGCTTTCTTTGCAGAATACTGCTCACTTTCACTTTCTAAATTATCACTGCCAGACATATTTCATTTTTAATTATATTTGAAAATTATTTATTTAGTAAACACAGAATATGTAAACCATAGTAGATAAAACTGTATGCACTATAGGTATACACGCTCAGTGTGGTGAGAGAAATAGTGTAACGCCAAACCAGTGGGAAAAGAATGGCACAGCCGCTTGTATGGCGACGCGTCGCCACGTCAACAATCGGTTTTAAGTGCGGCTATAGACGTTTCACATCAATAAGCATCCTACATCGGATTAATATTTCATGATTATATATGAAGTATTTGCAATAGAGTTACAGTGTCAAAATGTTTCATTCTCACTAAATTCTTGTGTATATAAATATTTAGTACACAACTTTTAATAAAGACTCCTAATCTCATATTAAGATGTTACAGAACATTGCAACGTTTTCAGTTATTTTTAGTATGAATGGGGAACACTGTTTTAATAAAAAACAATTTTGACATTTGTGATTTTTGTCAAATTAGATTTTATTTAAAAAATATTAGAATAGATCAGACTTAAAACATTAGTTCTCAATGATCTAGTCTCCCCTATTAAAGTGTGTATCTTGAATTCAATTTGAGTTGAAAATATATATAAACAACATGAAATATAACTTTAGAAATAAGCCAATTTTTCAACATGCCTAACTGTCCCTCAATTTTCAAACACCTATTGCTAACCAAAATTTGTACAATTAGTTGAAAAAGTATAACGTAAAAAAAAAAGCTTTATTAATATTTACTCAAGTACTAAAATTATATGGCCTTCTATTTAAGGAAATGGAAAGTTGGATGAGTAAGGTTTCAGAGGAAACAAAACCACTGATTTGTAGTTAAAATGGAATTTAGATCTTTATTTCCAAATCATGGTGCCCACAGGTATTGATGCTGCCTGCAAAAACGAGAAACAAAATAAAAAACAATCATCAAAAAACTTGTTGAATATGCAAAATTTTTTCTTTTTCAAACATTTAAACAAAATAGGTGAAATTTTTTTATTCAGAGTAAAGGAGCGTATGAGATCTTGAAAATTACCCAAATAATATAAAAAATCTGCTGCTGCCAGCATTAGTTATTCAAATATTTCATACTCTTTGGGTACAAAAACAAATTATTTTCGAGCGAATATGAAAAATTTACCATCAGTAGTTAAATTTCATGCTAATATTGAAAGCTGCAGACAGGCAATAAGTTAATTTTAATTTGGCAGTCGATGTCAAAGCTTAGCCTTTCAAAGGACCACAGTCTGGATCTTTTTTAATCTTCTGATTCATGTTTTTATTCTATTGATACCATAGATAATGCATTAATAATGGAAATTTTCATCGTCACTTTTGAACAATCACACCCCAGCAAAAATGTATCTTACAATACAACAAAAATAAGTTTCCTCACATTGTGAAATGAAAGTGGAATTGAGTCAATTAATGCATATGCACCTTGACAAATTGAATCCAGTGATGTAATGATGAATATAATTAAATCACAGTTGAGATGAGGAAAGAATGCACATATGTCAACAAAACATGATAAATCCTATTTTTACAGCATTCTTTCCTTTTGCCTTAATACTTGAATATTTCAACATAAGTGAATCTTACATCGTAATTATAAATTTTAACCACAAATGGAGATAGGCTCTTTCTTCAGCATACTGAAAAATTCAAGTTAGTTGCCAGATATCAGAGTTGAAAAATAGATATTGATAAAATTAAACCCAAAATCTTAACATGTGGTTTTCACTGTTCGTATATTTTAAAACTAACAATTCGTCATCAAAAGGTTAGGTTGTTCGGAGCAGTAGCCACATCTTGCGTTGTCATTAGTATGTGGACTATCGACAACATGCGCGTCATTTCATCATTCCAACTATATTTTAAACACATCATACAGTTCTGAATATCTAATTTATTCATATCTGAGTTGATATCATTTTTGTCAGGGGGCAAAATGTTCCTAGGAAAATTTTATAACTTCGACTATTTGTCTAGGTAGGTCTTCAAAAACAATCATTATGCTTGTCTCTAGAATTAAGCACAATTTGAAGTTCAAAGAAAGATTGGTGTAGCAAAGTTTCAACATTTTTTTCCATTCAAAAAATCTCTTAAACCTTCTCAGTACAGTCATGTTTTCAAGATCCCAGTTCAACTCTGACTTATACAAAATACCCCCATAGTGATTCATAAAAATATTATTCCCCTCAAAATTCAATTTACACTTTCAGGAATAAAATCCTAACTTTGTAGAAAATTTGGTGAAAATTATTGATTTAGTTTACTCGTTTCAAATAAAGTCAAATTCATACAAGATAATTTCCCTCACCAGGTTGAAAAACCTATGGAGAATCATCTAATTTAATGAATTCCAACGACAATGAAATGATTTGCATTTAATTTGGTTGATAAATAACATTTTCAACTATCTCGCCAGGGTTTTGGTTCTTGGAGAGGCCTCTTGAATAAACTGTATCTAAAGAATTGTCAAAAAGGAGCCTACATGGTATTTTTCCAAAGTCTTACTGTATGTAACGATTCTGCATCAACTTGACACAGACAACTACCCAAGGAAAACAACTATAAAAAGAATGTGTTATCAACAGATTTCTGTCTGCATTCTATGGGGTAATTTTAAAATAGTTTATGCTTCTGAATAACTTCTCAGGGTACATATTTTCCCAGAAAAAGAAAGTAATGATTTTTCATCAAGTTTGCGCCGGTATATTATACTTTATTCGCGAATGAATATGCGTTCTAACAGAAAGCCCTAACCCCCGCCGCTATTTTTCTAGACAAAGAAAATTTAAAGCCATGCCTGATTTCAGAAGCGGAAAATCAACATTTTCTTAAATGAAAAGTTCAGAATTATTTTTAAATCATTAATTTTGTATGAATCATAATATACTGGTAGATGAATTAACACAATACTGGTTATTTCTTGTGAAAAAGGCTTTTTGGCCTTCCGAAGCCAGGAAGAAAGTAATAAAATTAAAAATAAACTCCTCTATAAAAAAGTGAAGGACATGCACCAATTTTTTTTTTAAATACAAACTGCTAACAAGCCCATGTACTTCAAACATTAGTAATAGTACTGAAACGGATATCATTCACAGGAGCGTTACAAAACTCAATATTCAAGTTAATAGTGGCGCTGATGAGTTTTTCTACCCAAAACTTCGAGAAGTACACCTTATAAATGATAGATTTCCATGTAAGTGGAATGTTTTATCATTGATTTTTCATACATAACGATGCTTAGCATTCCTGTCAACGATATCTGTTTCTGTTCCATAACGAACGTTGGAAATACACATTGAATAGGAAAAGGTGATTTTGTACTTCAGAGTTCAGGTTTGAAAGTAACTTTTGTGCCTGAACCGTCGTAAAGAGTTTTTATTAAAGTTAATTACTTTCTTCCTTTCTTGATGAAACCAAAAAGCATTTTTTTTTTTCAAAAACCAATCTTCCATAAGAAATATTTTCTTCGCAATTTAAATTCTGGTAAAATATCTGCATTGAGAATACTCCTATTTGGTCTGGAAATTATTTCAACTATATCTAATTTCAATTTTTTATAAACAAAATGAAGCATTTAACAATCAACAAAACAAATTCAGATTCAACAAACATACTCACCTTAAAAACTGAAGAAAGCATCAATCACAATTTAGGAGACAATAATACAATTTGAACAAATCTTTAGACACAGCTCAAAAAAAGAAAAAACCAAATAGTTCGTCACCACTTTTATTAACTCTTAATGTACAAAAAATTCCCAACTGATAAGTATTCCAGAAAATTTCCTTCTACATCTCTTATGGATATAATAACCTTTCCAGATACCAACTAAACCCTTGCGGAGACGAACAAACTGCATGGAGCGAATCACTGGAAGGAATCGAGAGCCCTTGGGATGCCCCGAATGAATCGGGGCTCCCAGGGCTTTCATACAGCCACACGTCTCCAAATTAACCCTAAATATCTTATCTGAACTAAAAAGTCACACTATTGGGACAACCAAAATGGAACAGTTAAATATATATATAAATATAAAATTGACACTCTTCAGAGTTCTTATCAGAAAGTAGGCAGCGTGCACGGCGCTATCCTAAAGAGACAAAATGGCGCACAATATTCGTATATATATCTCGCAGACTTAGCGTAGAAAGCTAATACTCACACCATAAGACCTCCAGGAGAAACGTCGTAGAAACACACTGACACACTAGGCTCTTTAGATGAGATCCGCTACATTCATAGGCATTTCGTCAATCTTTGTATTATAAAACTGCTCAATATCCTTAAGTGTACGTTTGTCTTCTTCCGTCACGAAATTTATGGCTACACCCTTACGACCGAATCTACCACCACGACCAATCCTGTAATGAAAAAAAAAAAGTGGTAAAACATATGATTTATGTATCGTTTTCAATTATACTTGATTTTAAACATCAGAACTTATAAAAGTTGACATCAGCACTCTCAGCGATCTTGGTGGAAAATGTCATCATGAATAGAGCATTATAAATTTTTTAAATATATTATTAAACAATGCTGTCGAAAAAGATAGACAAATAAACACATCACTGAAATGAATATATGTGAAAAGCTAAACATATAAAAAAAAACTTCTCAATGACTGATCAAAAATTTTTGGTTTGTTTCTGATTCAAAGTTTAATGCTGAGGATTCAAATGCCTCAGCAAATTAACTCACTGTTTTGGTTTAGTTTTCCATTTTCAAGAAACGTAATTTATACAGTGCCTTCAACTTTTGAACGGAATAGGATGTCAAGGTCATAAAAATTTACGTAAAAGAGTATCATTTTTGGTACTATTTGATAAAGGTGTTCAATCACTTAGCTTGCGCTAACTAACTGAACACTGGCGCCAAAAAATATTTTAATATTCAGTTGCAAAAAACGATTGTTGATTAACAAACGCATTTTTTTTAGCAACACAGAATTTTTTTCAAGAAACCATTTTTTTTAAATCATGATTTTTTTCAATTAACATAATGCAAAAAAAAATCGAATTGCTTATAAACAATGTATTTGTTTATAATAAATGTATTAACAATAGCTGTAAAAAAAATTATTAATTAGTTTTTAGCCATGAGACATTGAAACAATAAAAAATAAAAAAAAATTGTTATGTATTTTTTATAAAATAATAATTTTCAATTGTCAATAAAAAAATTGAAAATAACAATTTTTTATTTTGGCAACGGTAATCATTTTTTTGCCTATTAAGGATAACTTCACCAAAGGAAAAAAATGCTAGGGTTGTAGTTTAATAATTATAGGGATTTTTTATATTGACTTACAATTCAGAAAAAGTTATTGATTAACAAATTTATAATTAACGTTAAAATTGGGATAAAATTTTTTTGACTGTGGATTATTGTTTATTGATGTATCCCAACATTACATGAATTTTTTCATTCCCCAATATTTACATTTGAAATGTTTAAATAATTTTTTTTGTTTTTATGTCAGAGTGACGAAAGGCGCGCGGAACTAGACTACCCTCTGTTGGCTCTATTTTCAGGGCTCTGTAAAAATTATAAATGATCGAGATACAGTTTCGGGAGTCGTGACTTTTTTTACGCAAATTCATTGATCTTTTCAAATTTCCAAAATTTTGAAAATTTTCCGAGATATTAAGAAAAAACTGAAGCCCCATTTTTTTTCACTTAATTCTTTATAACTTTTTTAATTTTTATTGGCGCGTTTTCGGACCTTCCCTTAAACTTTCTAGACAAAAATACGAATTGAATGACAGCTTGGTCGTAATTTTTGAACATGGCTGAAAAATGTTACAAAAAAAAGTACATGTGAACTAGACTATTAGTAAAATCTGACAACCTGTCAAGGTTAAGAAAAATGGAACCCCGCCCACGAATGATGATATATCTCAGATAGAAGTATGAAATATTTGTCTGACCTATTTTCAAAGTTCAATATATGTCACATATGTAATATGCTAAGTGAAGTTGAGACGATAATGCTATTCTACGAATAGCCTTGATGCTCCCTATGTGGCTCTGGGAGTTATTAATCTACCCCGAACATAAGGCTAATGACACTAGTAGTTGATGCCACTGACATTGATAAAACAGTAAATCAAAATGTCTACAAATTTTCGAGTTAACATTTTGTTTTAAAATCCTAATCGTGTAAATTCATAAACTTTTTACTGATTTCCTTCAATGCATAAAAACAAGCAGTTGAAGACAGGGCCACATTTACAGAGATCAAATACACTAGCTCTGTTCAACCAACCAAAATGAACATAAATCGGTATATTTCACATATATGCTAAAATTTGGTTTTGAAAACTAAGTTTCAAGACTCAACTGATGAATTCTTTGTCGAAAAAATCATTTTAAAATTTTTATTACATTTTTTTTCTAAGTTTAGATGGAACAGTCAATAAGGGTATCGATTGATACTAATTGATTCACAAAGTCTCATCAAAATGTCAGATATTGTTGAACAGCATATTCAATATAAAAAAACCTATGTTGTAGGCTTCATTAAAAAAATAAATTAACTACAAAAAAAATAAAGACTCACCTATGAATGTAGTTCTCCCTATTTGAAGGCAAATCATAATTTATAACTAGTGAAACTTGTTGTACATCTATACCACGGGCCAATAGATCAGTGGTAATGAGTACTCTTGAAGACCCAGTCCTGAATTGCCTCATAATGACATCTCGTTCCCTCTGCTCCATATCTCCGTGCATAGCAGAGACAGTAAAATCACGCTTGTGCATGTTCTCTGTAAGCCAGTCCACCTTGCGACGTGTATTACAAAAGATTACAGCCTGCGTAATTGAAAGGGTATCATATAAGTCGCATAAAGTCTCCAATTTCCAGTCTTCACGTTCAACATATACAAAGAATTGCTTGATACCTTCGAGTGTAAGCTCTTCCTTTTTTACTAAGATTCTGATAGGACTTCTCATGAAAGATTTTGTAACGTCTAGGACATCGTTGGGCATGGTAGCAGATAGTAATATAACCTGTACATCAGAATTCAGCATCTTGAATACATCATGAATTTGATCTTTGAACCCTCGTGATAACATTTCATCTGCTTCATCCAGTACAAACATCTTAATATGACTTGTTCTCAAAGCTCGCCGAGTGATCATATCATATACCCTACCAGGTGTACCAACAACAACATGAACACCTGTTTCGAGTTTCCTCATATCTTCTCTGACATTCGTACCACCAATACAAGCATGACACTGTGCAGACATGAAATCTCCTAATGCGATTACTACTTTTTGGATCTGCTGAGCCAATTCACGTGTGGGGGCCAAAATCAAAGCTTGGCATTCTCTAACGGAAGTGTCAATTTGCTGCAAGATTGATATCGAAAATGTGGCTGTCTTTCCAGTACCAGACTGGGCCTGAGCAATAACGTCATGACCTTTCACGCAAGGGATAATGGCTCTTTGTTGAATAGCTGAGGGTTTTTCAAAACCATATGCATAGATACCTCTGAGAAGTTCCTCCTTTAGGTTCATATCGTCGAAGTTGTCAGTAACCTCTTCCCAGTTTGATTCGATGACACCATCAGGGTCCATCCCTGGAGGGCCATCGTATCCTTGTGATTCTTTTTCATCATTGGTAGGGCCATTCTTGTCCCACTCTTCACTTGAAATAAAATAAAAGTTATGAATATATGTCAATAACCTTCAAAAGTAGTGAGTCATTACTAAACATATGCTACATATAAACCAATATCACACAATGGTTGAGAAGAAAATGATTGGAAGGCAGAAAATCACAGTTATATAAGAAAAAAAACATTTTTTTGTGAAAAAATCGTTATGGAATATTTCACAAATATCAAATTTCTCAAGCTAATTCAACTTTGTATTTAAAAGACATCAGAGGAATTTATAATAATGAAAAATCACCACTTCACCACTACTTCAAAATAAGGCACATTGCAGTAAAATTCCATTTAAAAAATCCATGCGCCATGTTGGCGAAAAAAGATATGAACAACCATGCCGAAAAAGCTTTCAAAATATCAAACAAGTACACATGCCTTAATCATTTGATGGTCAAATTTATGAAAGAGGTTTATAATAGAACATTTATACTCACGATTTAGTAGTGTACAGATATTATTTTCGTGTTCAAGAGAAAACTTACCGTCTATCTTGCAACGACATGTCTATTCTCAACGTTTCACTAAACGGAAAGGACTGTAGGATTACTGGTTCCAAGGTTGGGAGGCGGCCTTTGTGCTACTACGCGGCTCACGTCCTTGAAATGAGTTTTATTCGAAATTGGGTACTTTGAATAACTCTGAAGTAATGAACCCTTGGAGTTGATCTTCGCAGATAGCAAGTCAGACCGCTGATTTATTTTTTTCGAGGTATTATGTATTTATTTTTAAGAACTATATTTCAAAGCGGCTAAACATGGCCGCTTTATCTGTATTTCCGGTAATAAGCTGTCAGAACAGCCGCCAAATTTTGAAATTCATATTAGAGTGAAATATGCCACTTGTTAATTTTGACAAATAATTCATTTTTTTTGACTTCTGACTCGCAATTACTTGATGACAGATCAAAAAATATTCTGATATACTTGATGAACTATCATATTTAATTTCGAAAAAAAAATTGTTACAAAAAAATAAAAGTTAAAGAATTATTATCATTACCTAAATGTATCAGTATACACCACGACACAGTAAAACAGCTATTTATGATATGACTGTTAAGAGTAAGGTTTTATTTTGTGAGTGAAAAAGTTTGCGAAACGAGCGTAGCGAGTTGAGAAATTTCATGAACAAAATAAAACTTACTTTCAACACAAATATCATACAAAGTTTTTTGTGCAACTATCCTGTTTTCATGATAAAATAAATAATTTTAATATTTTTATAAAAACATATTTTGACATATTTCGTCAGTTAACTATTTTCTTGTTATTTGCTGTGAAGTGGCCGTGTCTGGTGACGCCGAATCACCTGGTTACCAAAAAACATTATTATTTACAGCTCACGCGTTTTATTTAAAGTCAGATTTGAAGTTTTTGCTGGTGATTAATGTCTTGCATAATGAAGAACAATAGTGAGGAATTGTGTGTTCCTGACGATATTGAAGAGGCTGCAAAATAGCTTTAACTGAATTGTTACCAAAAATTGGCTCAGCAGTACGTAGTCGCATATTCCATTTTTCTTAGCTGGTCTAAACTTGAAAACGTCGAAGAAAATTTCAGCGAAACCGTCTTCTTAGCCTATTTAGAAGAGAAATCAAAAATATGGAACTCGTCAACTTTATGGAGCAAGTTTTCATTGATCACGTCAAGTGCGCTCGTTGAAAATGGTGTTATACAAGCAAATATTTTAAAGTAATAGCATTCTTAAAGCGAAAAAATGAAAGTTATTGGCCCAAAAAATCAAAAACTCTTACTTTTGAACAAGTCCAGAGGTTTATAGATGGGTGCCAGATGAGAAATATTTGATGATAAAAGATGATAAATAATAATAATGTAATTAATGTATATAATACATTTGTATCAGAATTTAATTGTATCTAAATCTATTGTTCATAATAAAACCTCCTTGAAATTATGACAACCATTAAAAATGTCACTTTCAATGGCAGTTGTACGAAATAAATATTTATTGAGATATGTATAATAACCAGAAAGACCGCTATAATAACTTTATTATAGGAATGAAAGCAGTAAAAATTGAAATTATCTCATTAACGACATATTGTTTAGACAACATTTCGGTGACAGACACTACTAAGATAGACAAATACTTTCACTAATCTAATACAGAATGAATAACATTTTCTGAATATATTACAATATGTAGTTATAAAAACACATGACATTAAAACGGACAAAACTTTAGATACAACCTTATAATACTCAGAGAAATTAATTTATGAAATTAATAATCATTACTCAATATTTGAATCACCAGATTCTACTTGCAGAATATCATCAAGAGTTATAAGTTTTTGCTGGTTTACATGTCCTCTTTGTAATAGCGTAAATTATGTCACTGCAAATGGATGTTAGGTAGCTACTTGTGTGGTAGCCTGAGTTGAATTTTGATCAGAAAAGTTTGGTCGTATGATGACATTAGACATTGAATCAAACAAAAACTAGAGGATTTTACATTCCCCGTGAATCACGTTTTCAGCTGTTATACGTTTATAGACACCGGTTTATGATCAATTTTTTTGATACATTTTCTCAACTGAAAACAAACGTCATCAAACTTTCCTTCATTTATTTTCTCCAATTTTTTTTCTATTAGCCATTAGTGAAACGTCGATGTCAGTTTTGTACACTATTTTTTGATTACGCGGTTTGATGGATGCTTCATGGTTGAACTGGTTGAAATGGTTCAACATATTTTTTAAATAACTTTTTTCCAACATTTCAGTCCCGTAATCTTCAATGTCAACGAGATCGATTGTCCTCTTCACAAATTCTAACAACAGAGCTTGGTATCTTAAAAACAATTGACTGAAGTACAGAGGCGGCGTAAGGCGTGGGCGGTGTGGGCCACCACCCACGGCCTTGCGGTGCAAAGGGCCTCGCACCTCAAAGCCGAAAATAAAGTTAAAAAAAGTGTGGGGAATCCAAAAGTACACGCCATGATTTTTTTTATGATTAATACATTAGAAAATTATCAACCCAAAGATATTCCGTTCATCGGCGCATGAAAGCATATGGATGAAAAATTCGTGAATATATTTCTTTTACTTTCAAACTGCTACTTTCTTTTCACATATTTGTCGTTTCTGATCATTCGTTTTCATTTACTCCGGCAACATTACTTGGCGTTAAGCTGTTATCGCGGGGAATCTCCTGTCACAGAGACCTCGGGACTTCCCCTTACTAGTAAGCCACCTGGATGGCAAGAAGATTTATGGAATTCTGGCAGAATCTTTCAGGATTGGCTCACTCCAAGGCGTTTATTCACCCTTCGAAGCTTGATACCAAACAGTTGTTGGACTACATTAGGGATGAACTACGGTGTCTAATAGGCTTTCTTACAGGTTACTGTCAATTGAATCATCATATGCAGAGACTCGGACTGTCGGAAGATAGTGTGTGTCGCCTCTGTTTGAAAAATTACGAAACAGCAGAGCATATAATTTGTGTCTGCCCCGCTGGGGAGCGAATCAAGTTTTCAGAGTATGACAAAGCCGTACTCTTACCATCTAATCTGAAAGACCACTCACCATACAAACTAATCGGCTTCGTTAAGAAGCTGGGTTTATTTGGTCGAGTGAGAATAGGTGTGAGCCACAATAAACGGTTACGGGTTGCAGTGGATGGTCGAATAGACCCACTCACTTTGGACCTGACCTAACCTAATCTACTAGAAAGCCAATCAAAGTATCGCATGCAGATGCAGTCTCGCTTCATGTTCCTATATTAAAATTTATAAAAGTATTTGATGTGAGAATAAATAATAGTTTTTAGTTTTACATAGTTTTGAAACGAAAACATTGATCGGAACCAGAATTCGATATTTTCAAGAGTATGTACAGTAACATTTTTACTTTGACTTGATGCTGCAGAAGACTTTGGCAACGTGGCGTATTGGACTCATTATAAAGGTTTCAATGAATAAATAATGCAGTGTCTGAGACTTTGACTGGGGTTTTAATACGACGACCTAGACATGATGTTTTCTTATTACTTTTGAGTCGTTTTTTTTATTTTAAATTTTGTTTTTCAATATTCCAAAAAAGTACAAAAGTAAACATTTTGGCAATTGTCTCTCAATCAATCAAAAATTGTTTATTGTCGAATTATTTTTACTGTCACTGCTGAAGTATATCACACAATTATTTTCTATTATTTCATTAGAAACAAAATTTCCTGTAGTTTCAAAAACTTGCTTATTATGAAGGTTTCTGTAAATTTGCCAACTACTGGAAAAAATAATTGAAATTTACATTGAAATGTTCATTATGGAAGATGAAAATTACTTTAGTTAGATAGATATATTGAAAAAATACTCTGAAATAAATTTTTAGGACGTTTAGTTTTAATAAGCAATGTACTTTTCATTGAGAATTGAATATTCATTTAATGTAAGTTTGAACTCAAAACGTTTTATTTCATGGAAAAATATTTTCCAACTGGATGGTGGATATTCCCGGCGACAGAAAGTACAATTACGTTTGTGGGGGACCTTTTTCTTTTTCCTGTTAGTTCTTATACAGAGACGAGCAGTTGAATGTTCAACGTGTATATCAAAATATGTCTGGGTGTTTGTGTGAGATATGCGAAGAAGGTTGAGTAGGTATATTTCTTATGAAATTTCAATAAGTTGCCGAAGGACGATTCAATTCATAGGGTATTCTTATTATGAACTTTAGTCTTTTTTTTAATCATATGTATATCCTTACCTCACAACATAAATTATTTTATTTGTATCGTGTACCTAATCGGTACATAATGTATCAATGAATTTTTGAATAATTACAGAAGACATTTTGAAATACTGTTGTGATAATAGTAATAGAGGTAATACGAACTAGAATTATGGAATGTATCGAAAAGAATTTTTTTTCAGATTTTCGAACTTATTGTTTATATGATGATCTTTCATTTCTCTTACAGGATAACACCACCAATGTTTGAGGATGAAATGTTGATATCAAGAGTTCATATTTTTATTTTGCAATATTTTATTGGATATAAAAAAAATTAAAATTGTCTATTTTGTACAGTTTCATTTCAAGGTATTTACCAAAGTTGCGAGATGAAAATGGACTCTGAAATAGATAAAAGTTAGTCGATTAAATTCAACAATCTTACTTACAACGGAATATCTGAAGTTACGATAATATTTAAATGAAAAATTGCAATGTTAAATTATGTTTGAGTGTGAAATCCCGCTGTAAAACCAAGATGAAGTGTAACATTTCATTGTAAAATTATTATAGGGTGTAATATCACGATGGATATTCATATCACAAATTTAACCTATTAAGTTTTATTTCATCGCAAAAGTACACTCAAAATGAAAAATTGCACATTTCTTATCGTGGTAGAATTACAAGGTATCTAATATTCTGCCTGGAATGTGAGATCACAAGCAAAAGTAATTTCTCGCTAACTTGGGCGGTGATCAAATTGACGCTTGTATCGGCGGAAGCATTTTTATCAGTGTAGAATTGGAATAACCATCAATATTGTATTTTTCTTTGGTGAGGAAGAAGCATAACAGGGCTTATGCTAAGCAATGCGTTGAAGTTGAAGTTGTGA